AGATTATTTGGTCGTTACCTCTTGTGAATTTCATCGTCAGATGCGGGGTGGACACCACAGCTCTGAGTTGGTTTAACATCGATTTACCTATGATGATGTTGTACGATGTGTTGGCGTCAACGAGAAGGTATTTAACTATGGTTCTTTTTGAGTTGGGAGGGGTCCCAAAGGTTGTTAGCAGCTCTATGTATCTCCAAGTGTGGACTCGTTCACCTGCAAAATTGACTAGGGGTTCTATGTGAGGTTGGATGAGAGAATGGGGGATGTCTAACCTTAAGAATGTCGGCCAGTACAAGACGTCTGCTGAGCTTCCTTGGTCGATTAGTGTCTTGTGGACCTCCCAGTTGGCTACCTCTACCGCAATGACCATCGGGTTGTCCTGGTTTGGGCAGATACCGACATAGTCATCATCCGTGAAGGTGATGGGTAGTGTGTTGCACTGCGAAGCCGGGGTGTCTGCATGGACGTTGTTGATGCTTTGCAAGTGTCTCTTGCGTGCTGAGCTACTTGAGCCATCCCCTGCGAAGCCACCTACAATTGTATTGATGACTCTACGTAAGGGATTCGTACCTACGTCATGACTTACCTCAACCTGCACTGTCCCGTCGATGTTTTACTAGGGTCCGAAAGGTTGGTTTGTTCGGGCATTGGAGCCCAAACCTCGTTCACGTCCGCGACCGTGTCCATGGTAACCCCCCTATGGGATTGTGATCGTTGGACGTATTGTCCGAGGTGCCCTCCTTGGACGAGTTCCTCAATGCGATCCCTGAGTGTTCGGCATTCCTCGGTTGTGTGACCATAATTTCTATAGTATCGGTAATGCTTGGATATTTCAGCACTATTGGGGTTGTGTCCAGGTGGTGGCAAGGTAATCACGTCAACGTTACTGGCTTCTTCCAGTATGTGGACTCGGGGCGCATTCAAGGGGGTGTAGAAGTCGTACTTCCCGCCTTTGTTCTTCCGAGGCTTTTTGAATTGACTATTGTTGGAGACTCTCATCTTATCTTTATGACCGTGGTCTTGCTTCCCTTGTGGCTTTCCACGGACTTGGTCACGGAACGTCGTGTGCTCCTCCATCTGGATGTATCCAGCGGCTCGGGCACAGAGCTCGTCCATGTTCGGGGGAGGTCGCCGACAAAGGCTGTCGACAAAAGGAACTGGCCTGAGCGCCATGAGCATGGCGTGTAGGGTGACCTTAGGGTTTAGGTTGCAGATCTTGATGGCAATATTGGCAAATCGCTCCATGAATTTGCGCAGTGGCTCGTCATTGCCTTATCGAAGGTTGGCTAAGGCAGTCGAGGTGACGTGGTGGGCTCGGCTCGTTGCATACTGTGTCGTAAATCGCTTGACCAAGGTGTCAAAGTTGTTGATTGACCCGGGTGGCAGTTGGGTATACTAGGTGAGTGTTGATCCTTTTAGCGAGGTCGGGAAGACCCGACACAAGATAGCATCATCGTTAGTGTAAAGGTTCAGCTAGGTGATGTAGAGGTCGATGTGCTCATAAGGATCGGTAGAGTCGTCATATCTGTCGATGTTTAGGGGCTTCCATCCAAAGGGGAGAGGTGTCTCCATGATGCCGTCCACGAAGGGGTGGTGGCGGACATTGGCCCATTGTGACTGAGCCAAGGTCAGTGCGTTGCTAACTTCATGATCCGATCTTTGTGTCAGCGCACATGACCGATTGGTGTTCCTCCTCGTGGTGATTGCTTGGCTGAGGAGGTACATGTGGGAGTCGTTGATGGAGTTGAGCCCGAATGCGCTCGTTCTTTGCCCGTAGCGCCGCTAGATCGGCCTCATGCCGAGTGCGCATGTTCTCCAAGTCGGCAGTGTGCCGCTACTGCATCTGTTCAACCTGCTCGATCAGTCGTCGTAGGGTCACTTCTCCTTCCATCCTAGATGGTTGTTGTTCTGCTTCGTCTGTTGCTCTTCTACTATAGCTTCGGGCGAAAACCATAAGTGTGGCCGACAAGGGAATTCTTGGTCGGCCCCACGGTGGGCGCCAAATGTTCTTACCTGAGATCGGTCGAGGGGACGATCTGCTGGGCAAGATTGGTGAACCTCTTTTGCTTGGTACGTCGGTTGTTCCAAGATGGGGTGGGTACCTGCAAAAGAGACTCTGATGCTAAAGTTAGTCTTTGGTCGATATTGCACGTACCGCGATGTGAATTAGGGTTTTCCTTTTGAATGAGGTTGATATGGGGCCGTGGCTGGTTGTGGCCCAATAGATGGTGGGCCTTTGTGTTGACCGATGTCATGTGGCGCTCGGATACCGAGCTCGATCTCGGTATCCTACGTGGATAGTAAAGTTACCATTATGCTATTTGTTTAATAAGATAAAACATCTCATTTTTAATTAAATAATGTATCTATATTTATGTTATAAATGCTTACTTTTTGAAATGTTTACTTATAAAAGTTCCTACATATCACATTGGCCTATAAAAATGTCAAAACCAACCCTGTTATCGAAGATTGGACATCTCAAGCAGGATTGTTGATTGGACATCTCAAGCATTATGTTTATAGGACTGAATGTCAACAGGTGTCTATAGTCCGCCGTGGAGGATAGGCGCAACAATAATGGTTAGGATATACTTTAATACCATTTTGTTTGTTTGATAATGAGGTCTAACTCATTCTCCCATTGTTGGTACTAATAGGAGTAATACCTCGGTCGGTCCCGACCCCATATATACCTCTTGCATGTGAATTGAAGCTCAATCTTTGATTAAGAAACCCAAATAACAAATCACTTGAACCAAAGACTTTTGATAGGCTTTAATATTCTTAATAGTGGATGTAAAATGTCGAACACATAGCTTTTTTTTTCTTAATTTTAAAAGTCTTGTCTTTTTAATTTTACTAATACATTAAAAATAAAATGTTTTCATTGCATAACTTTTTTTTAATACTATATTCTTATTTTGAAATTATTTAAAATTGAAATTTTGCATGAAAAAGTTATTAATGTTTTTTTTTTACGAAAGATATTATCCAATTGCAAACTCCTATCACTATCCTTAAAGAATTCAACTATTTAACAAATTTACTAGGTCTTGTCGGTAAAAATACTAGTGTTATATAATATTAATAATTTAATTTTGAAGATTCGTAAGAAATCTATTAAATAGATTTTGAGATTTAATGTTAAAAGCTAATTATATTTAATAACAAGTTAAATTACTTCTCAAGTCTTATACTTTTATTAAATTATTAAACAAATCTAGGTAATTGAAAAATTTTAACAGAAGTTTTATATTGTTAATTATTTTTTTTTCACTAAATATCATTTTATCCTTTTCCTAATTAATTGGCCCTCTTGTCTCTTGATGCTTTTTCTGGTAGCTCTGGAACAATGGAACTAGTCATTTGTTCTTTAGAAGTTGTCGCAGATTTATCCAACTTATCACATGCTTTCATTGTTACACCTAACCCAAAATAATGCATAACGCAGACCCTCTGATCATAATAAGGTCAGCATTCACACTTTATAACATCCCAAATGTAAACACAATAAAGCATCTCATTTTTAAATATTTAATTTTTTTCCTCCTAGATTGAATTTAAATCATTGAAAAAAAAATTATCAGAATTTTAAGTTTTTGTTAGAACAACTCTTTTTAACTTTTAATCATACCCCTAAAGCGTTAGAAATTAAGCACGTGCAAATTAATAGTGTGGGGGTAACAAAAATGTTTGAGCATTTTATACTTTTAGAACACGTGATGCACGTACCGATAATATTATTGGTTTCTAAAATACATTCATATTTCATCTGTCTTTTATTATAAGAAAAAGATAATTTATTTATATTAAAAATTAGTTATTGACATCAAATTTTATAATTTTATAATTTTTTTAAAAAATCATTTTTATTATAAATGTAAAAATAAAAATAATTCAATTAAAAGATCATATATTAAAAGAATAATATTTTAGAGAAGATATTATTGAGATAAAAATATTTAAAATATATTTTTATATATAAAAAATTATTATTTTTTCTTATAACAGATAAGTGGGAGTATTATTAATCGACACGAACACACATTAATGAATTAAAGAATGAAAGCAAACGTAGGAAGAGTCGAATCATGAAGGTGATACAAAAGAGAGAGTCCACACGGCACGTGCTCTGTATAGATTGTAGGGAAGGATATTATCTTAATTAAATGAAAAAGATAAAACGGCTACAATTTCTTATTTTAATTGTTAAAAATTCAAATCAAATCACTACATGTAAATATTTTTAATATTAAATCATTTTTTAAAAGTAAACTGATTTCTCATAAATTATTCTATTAAAAGTATACTATCAACGTAAAAATATATAAATAAATTTTTTAAAAGAAAATAAATTTATTTCATAATTTTAATAGTTATTGGTCAATTTTTTTTAGTCAATAAAAAATTTAAATTTAACTTCAAAAAAAAGAAAAAGATTGACTGATTTTATGACGTTAATAAAAATTTAATAAATAATGTTAGTTTCTAATATGTAGATGAAGATGTTGATTAAAAATATATTTAAATTGATTAATTATTGTAACTTTATACTATTTTTTATTTTAAATTCTTTAATCATTAAAAATATACTTAATTTGAACTATGTTGTAATCAATTTTGACGTTTATGAAACACCAAAGTTTCTGGCAATACCGTCTTTAATCATTAAAAATATACTTAATTTGAACTATGTTGTAATCAATTTTGACGTTTATGAAACACCAAAGTTTCTGGCAATACCGTCTTTAATCATTAAAAATATACTTAATTTGAACTATGTTGTAATCAATTTTGACTTTTATGAAACACCAAAGTTTCTGACAATACACGGTATTGCCACGCTTTCTGTTTCTGGTTGGCACAAGTCTTAAATTAATATCATTCACCCGCAGTGAAGAGGGTCCCATAGAATAAAAGTGGCTATTCATTTCTTTTTCAATGTTATATATATATATATATAGGTGAAGCAAAATCAAACCGACACTATTTCTAAAGTTGGCATCAACATGGACGAATCATGGGAAAAATGGTTTTCTGATTTGGTAACTATTTTTAACATGAGTTAACAAATTTATGCATCGATTATATCATTTTGGTCCTTATGAAAATAACTAATTGTCTTTGTGGTGTTGTCAATTGTACTGCAGGAAATGGATGATGGGTGTGATATATTCAATGAACACGACATTGTCTCTGCTGAGGAAGAGTTGAAACACAACATTGGCAATGCTTCATGTTTGGAAGAGAACACAGGAAATACTTCTTCAGAGAAACCAATGTTTGCCTTCCACAATCTCTCTTTTGAGGATACAATTGAAGTGCCAAATATTACTTCAAAATCCAAGAGAATAGAACCTGAGAATGGAAAGTGCAATAAGAGGGTAAGAAACAGTTCTGAGACCAATGATCATGTAATTGCTGAGAGGAAAAGGAGAGAGAATCTCACCAGATTGTTCATTGCACTTTCGGCCATTATTCCTGGATTGAAAAAGGTGATCACTTCGTACCCTTTTTTTTTTCTTTCAATTTTTTCCTTATATTTTTATAGAAAGAGTATTGTTATGTTACATAGTTTTTATAAATAATAATAATAATAATAAAATTAATTTTATAAAATTATTTATTATTTAATTATTATCTTTTCTTAATCTGTACGAAAAAAGTTAAACAAGTAACTCATTTATATTAAAAATTCCACTTTGAAAATATCAAAAAAAAAATATCATAGAAAGCAAATCTAATTACGTCACAAACACTATAAATATAAGTAAATAAATCACTTAATTCTTATATTAATTCCAAGATAAGAACACTGGCTAATTACCAAAGTAAAACTTTTAAAATAAGTTCTTAAATAACTGAACTTTTAAAATCGGTTAAAATTTAACCGATCTTAAAAGTATTCATATTATTTACAAAATTGTCACCGCGTCACTTTTAAGATCGGTCACTTTTTAACCGATCTTAAAATTTCGATTTTAAATCCAATTTTTGCACTAAAAACAAGAAGAAACCTCTCTTAATATTTAAAAAGGCCTATGATGTTATGAATTGGAAGTTTTTGTATTTCATGATGTTAAGAATTTGTTTCTCTGATAAATGGATTAAATGGGTGAGAGGGTACCTTGAATCCTCTTCTATGTTAGTATTAGTAGATGGTGGTGCTACCTAGTAGTTTAAATGCCTAGGGGACTTAGACAAGGGACCCTATGTGGCAACTTTCCAATTTCTTATATGGTGGCGAAGGGACTTGGAGGGTTGGTTCATGAAGTTGTGAAGAAGTTAATTAAAGGCATCCCAATTGGTAAAAATGGATTACAGGTTGTTATTCAGCTTTGAAGCACAGATATGTGATTTTCATTCCCGAATCAATATCGAATACATATTCGATACGTATACGACTCGATACGTTACATATATGTTTCTCAGTCGTATCCATAATAATTATATTAATAAATAAAAAGAATAGATACATTACAGTTTCGTCACTATAGGTTTTTTTTATTTAAAATATGACTCTACATGATACTAGATGTTTTTGAAAGGGTTACGATCTGAAACTCAGAGGGATTCATTATGACTTAATACTCTCGTAATTGTGTTCTTATATCGGAGCATGGTATATGGTGTTCTTTCATTGTAGTCTTGATCGTATAAACATTTTAAATATAAAATCAATGTCTGATGCTCACCCTTCCATGTTCACCTTTCAAAAAAGTGAAAACTAATGAATTTTTTCAATTTTTGTCCTTTTGTAGTTTTTTTATTACTTTTATTCCATTTCAGATTGATCACTCGTTTTGTGTTTTTATTTTTCTGCTATTTATGTGAATGTTGAATTCTAATTTAATTTAATTTTTCTTTTAATTTTTTTAGTTAAATAGTTTTTAATGAAATCCTAATATTACACGATAAATTAAATGTTTAATATCCATATAATTATTTTATTTTAATATATAAGTATAGAATTATAAATATATAAATGTTTAAAAATAAAAAGTAAGAAATTCATCTTGATTTTTGAATGATAGTATATACAATTTTTATTTTTATATTTTATTTGACAAATAATTATTAATTTTATTTTTTTAATACATATCCTGAGCATATTATTATATACTATATCTTAAAAAATTGACGTATCGTCGTATCAGATGTATATTATGTTCGATACTCGTGTCGTATCATACATCACATTTATTCAACAACTTATTAATGATACAATTAAATTCATTGAACCAAGTTTGAAGAAAATTGACGTCGTTAAATTAATCTTTAAATGCTTTGAAGTTGCTTTAAGTTTAAGAGTGATTTTTCACAAAAAGCAATTTGGGAGGCATTATTGTGGATGATGAGTTGATTAGAAGATTTGCCTATCTTCTCAATTGCAAATTCATTGAACCAAGTTTAAGGAAAATTGGTGTCGTTAAATTAATCTTTAAATGATTTGAAGCTGCTTTAAGGTTAAGAGTGATTTTTCACAAAAACAATTTGGGAGGCATTGTTGTGAATGGGGAGTTGATTAGAAGATTTGCCTACTATACCGGATGGTAATCGACCAGGCTGGATACCCGAATACCCGACCCGACTAACCAGATCAACGTCACCAAGAACACCAACTACTCATTACCTGAGTCGAACATGTCGGTGTGCTCGGCCAAGTTAGGGATTTATATCGAGACAATTAAGGAGATATTAATTTACGTAATGTGTCGGTTTAGTCTCCTAATTTCCTGGGGCTCAGTCCTTAATCACGGCCCAACAAGAAATACTATAAATAGGACCCCAACAAGGTACGTAACCAACTTTCAACTACCACGTTTATTACGCCGATCACTTACTTGAGCGTTGGAGTGTCTTAGCAGGCACCTCCCCTTACTTCGGACTACTCGGAAAGGAACGAGAAGACCTAGACCCAAGACCAGACCCGTTACAACAAGAACAAGTGAAGTGTGTATCCTAGTACAGGAACACCTACCTTTTCAATTGCATGGTTATGAATGTGCCCCTCAAATATATGATTGACCAGTGGAGGAAAGGAAAGGAAGGAGGGTTTTTGACAACTTGTTATTGACAAGATAAGAAGAAAAATGTCACCTTGGAGATAATGTAATCTTTCCTTAGGGGGCGTATTTGCTTCATCAATTCTACACTTGCTTCCATTCCCCTATTTTATTTATCATTTTTAAAAAGTTCCTTTGAAGGTGGTTAATATTGTTAGGGACTAGAGAGAAGGTTCTTGTGTGGAGGGAAAGATGACAACAATGTGACATGGATTCAATGGGATACAATCTGTAAGAGGAAGGACCATGGACAAAGGTATCCATGGTTATATTCATTCTCTAATAATAAGGGCCAATATGTTAGTGAGTTGGGTGTTTGGGAAGAAATCAATTGGGTGTGGAGACTTTCTTGGAGGAGATAGTTATGGAATGGGAACAACTGATGCTTCAAGAGTATTTGGCAAATTTTTAATCAAGCATCTTTGTGTTGCGGGATAACTGATACCTATATTTGGATTCCAAATAGAGGTGAAGGGTATTCTTTTCGTGAGGCTTATGCCATCATTTTAGGTATGAAACAATGTGAAAACATACAGGTTTTCAAGCTCTTGGGAAAGATTAAAATCCCATCAAAGATAACAACATTTTCCTGGAAAATATTTTATGGGCGTTTACAGACATTGGATAATCTATAGAGAAAGGGAGTTGTTTCTACTAAATGCACACTACTAGAAATTTTCTTATTATATGCAACTTTTCTTGCAAATTTTTCATAAAAATTCGCAGGAAACATTATTCCTTCAAATTGTTCTGCAAAATTTTATCTGTAGGTAATACTTTCATGGATAATATGTTTTTGCGAATTTTAAAATTCGTAAGAAATTTTTCTGCGAAATTTCTTGCGGAAAAATTTCACAGGAAAGTTTCATGTAGAAAAACATTCACAGGAAAGTTTCTTGCAAATTTTTTCGCAAGAAATTTTGCAGGAATATTTTTACGAAAAAAAATTAAAGAAATTACTACAATTATTCTATCAAAAATTCTTCAATTTGCAAGAAAGTTTCCTGTAATTTTTTTTCGCAAGAAATTTTGCAGGAAATTTTTTTACGAAAAAATTGAAGTAATTACTACAAATTCTATTAATAATTCTTTAACTTATAAATGTTCACAATGAATTCATCCGAAACATTTGTTTCCACGCACCCAACATGTGATACATAATCTTTTAAACTCTAAGATAGATTATAAGTCTAACACTCAACCATACAAATCAACTTATAAGGTAAGTGTTGCCCCAACTTATATACTCTTTAATTTTATTTTCAATCGATGTGAGACTTGAGGTTTTTTTAAAATATTAAACTTATAAATTTAAATTTTTTTATTTTTCCTGCGAATTAAAATTGGCAGGAAAATTGGCAAGAAAAGTTACCTGCAAAATTTTTCTACCATTTAGTAAACATTACTTTCAAATTTATTTTTGCAAAAAAATTTGCAAGAAATAAAATAAAATTCTTACAATATTTTCTGCAAATTTTTACTATGAAATTTTTTTTTATGATCATTAAAATTATAGCAAAATTTGCAAAAATTTATTGTAGATTATTTTTCATAAAAAAATTGTAAGAAATATCTCTAAATTATTTTTCACAAATAAATTCATAAAAATTTGTGAAATTATTATTGTTAGAAAATTTGCAAAAAAATTATGCAAATATTTTTTTTAGAAAAATTCGCAGGAAAATGACACTTTTCTAGTAGTAATGTTACTTGCTCATACGGTTGCCAACATATTGAAAGCACATCACACTTAATTATTTTTTGGATGTCAATTTGCATGTGCACTATGGCAAAGGTGTTATGCTTGGTTGGTTATACAACAACTCCTCCAATTGGTAAAGGTGTTATGCAGCATTTAGGGAACTTTAATAGCGAAAGGCAATAGTTAGTATGTAGAATAGTTTGGATGGCAACATTTTGGTCAATATGACTACAAAGGAATGAAGTTATTTTCAAGGTTATATACCCTTTAGTATAGATATTGCAATGAAGTTGATTTAGCTAAGGGCATGGAATTGGATAAAAGTCAAGCATAACTCTGCTAGTTTTTCTTTATATGAATGGAAGGTTCAACCACTGTTATGTATTAAAAGCATTTCGTAATTTAAAATGCATTGGCTACTTATGTTTGTGTTGCTTTTTCCATGAAGGAAGTATTCACTGGTTTAGTTCAAGTAGAGAACTTGTACATCCATGTTGGGAATTAGTTTGCATATTCATTCTTCACAATAAGGACATAAGAATGACCTAAAACTTGTTCGTGTTTGTTGAAATTTATTTCATTTTCACTCTCCTTAATATAATTTCTAGATTTTTAAAACTTTGTATTTTATTATGAATTTATAAAATCAATTCCATTTTATGTGTAGATGGACAAGTTGTCTATCCTCAACAACACTATTGATCGTGTGAAATATCTTCAAAATCGTATAAAAGTTTTGGAGGAAGAGAACCAAAAGAGAAGGATGGAATCAATGACGACATTAGCAAATAAAAAACCTAATGTTAATGTTAGTGACAACTTTTTTGGGATTTCTAATGGCTTAGATAGACCTAGCAAGACATTCCCAACGGTTCAAGTAAGCATCTCAACAAAAGATGTAATCATCAAAGTTATTTGTGACAAACGAAATGGCATTGTAAGGAAGTTATTGGCCACGCTTGCAATTCATAACCTCTCCGTTGTTTGTAGCAATGTTTTGCCATTTGGGAGTTATGCTCTAAACATCTCCATCATTGCTAAGGTACGTGATATCATTCAAAATTGTTATATTCTATGAAGAAATTATTATATGGTCCGAAATCAAGTGATTATTGTCTCAACTAATCTTTATGGGACATATAGTCAAAAATTTTAATTTAAAATAAGATAATAAATTTTAATTTAAAATAAGGTAATAAAAAAAATTTATGCATAAATATTAGTTGAAATTATAACGACAACAACAAGGTTCAAACATAAAACCTTATACATATTATCTCAACCCCCAATAATTTCTCCTTCAATAGATGTCTTCTTTCTAGAAACAATTATAGGATTTGTTTGACTAAATTTATCTAAAAAATACTTTCAGCAAATAAAAATAAGAATGAAAAATGAAATAAGGTTTTCTATAAATTAAAATAGCTTATGAATAAGTTAATTTGTAAGAACATTCTCTTATTAGCTGCTCCAAATTTTTTTAAATTTATGTATAAGTTAATTTTAATCTATATTTTTTTTTTAATTTTATTCCTATTTTTTTCCCCTTAAAAGTGTTTTTCAAAAAATTATACAAACACGCTAATAACAAGCTTGGTAGGTCTTTCCCTTTCTTACATGTCTATTATCACATCAAATTTTAATGGTCAATTATTATGATGTATTGTATAGGTGGATCGTCAATTCATCATGACAATGGACGACTACCTACTGAAAAATCTAAAGGAGGATCTGTTGAAGTGTTGTATTTTGCAACAATAATTAATGAATCATGTAAGCATTAATTGAAGTGTTGTAACATGCATTAGGGTTTAATGAATGAAGTAGGCAATGTCTTAGCTATTTTATGTATTTTTTATTTATTATAAACTAAAAAAAATACTTGTGCATTACACAAAATTTATTTAAATATGGAAGTTTTTTTTTTTCTAAAACAAATGTTTCTCGATCATAAATTAGAAATTAATTTTTTTGAAATACATATTAAAATAAATTTTATTATTTTAAAAAGGATTATTATGTTTTTTTTTTTTATCTTTTTAACTTGACAAGATGTGCTCTCGCTCTTACATATCTCCAAGTGTAATGAAAAATTAATGATAGTTATAGAGTTATGTTGGTAGATGACATTTTATATATCAAAAGATTTTATTTTGTTTTAAATATTTAAATTAATTTAAAAGAATTTCAGCCAAATCAACAATGTATCCTAATTGACTATTGTAACATCCCAATTTTAAAACAAAAATGTTTTAATAAAATAAAATTAAATAAAAGGCTTTGGGGAATTAAGGATTGAAATTAAGCTTTTAAAATAAAAAGGCTAGTTAGAAAAAAAATATATAATGGGTTGAGCAATAAATGTGTTTTCTAGATATTTTGGTCTTCATAAATCCAATATATTCTTTCTTTTGACAGGAGTTTTACTTTTAGGTCAATATCTAATTGCTCTCTTTTGTTTTTGTTGTCTCATTTTGAAACCCATCAAAAAGTGTGAACTCGGACAAAAACCTTGAGAAGGTCTTGTTGTTGTCACCTTATCTTACATCTTTACTTAGAGTTGCTTATCTAGATAAGGGGGAGTTGTTAGTCTTACAGAATATAGTTGTGGGTAGAGGTCGATCTTAGACCCTGTAGGTTTTCGTTGTATGTAATTGGAAAATAATAACTTGTATTAATACTAGTACAAAAGAGGTGTACTACGTCGGACATTTTCAGCTTTTTACGTCAGAAAACATACCGACGTAGAAGCGGGAGACGTAAATTTTACGTCGGATCTACAAAACCGACGTAAATTTACGTCAGACATTACGACATCCGACATAAAAAAGTAGGGAAAAAAATAAAAATAAAAAAACATAAAAATGCCAGCAGAACGGCCCGTTTTGCTTTCAGAACAGGTCATTCTGCTGGGAGAACGGGCCGTTCTGCTTGTAGAACAGGCCGTTCTGCTTGCAGAACAGGCCGTTCAGCTTCGTATAACAACCCAAAAGAAAATTCCCACTACCTATACAAATAGAACAACCAAAAAATCAAATAAAACAGATAGCCAGAGTAGCAATGCGAAGTAGAAAAGTGCTAACGAAACCTTGATTCATACCTGAGGAGCAGCAACAATGTGCAAATGAGTAACAAAGAGTTCATCCCTCTACAAAAGACAAAAAAACGATTCAGTAACAAAGGAGAGGGAGAGGGTTTAGAGAGAAAAAAATGAAAAGTGATGAAGAGTGAATGCGCGCGGTGTGCCTCGCGCTCTCTTATTCAAATTTGCGTCCTTTTTTACGTCGGACCTGGTAGGGTCCGATGTAAAAAGTCCAATCTAGGCCGGACACAACACACCTCCGACGTAGATTGGACTTTTTACATCGGACCCTACCAGGTCCGACGTAAAAAAGTTCGCAAAAATTACAAAAATGCCACCGGATTTTTTTTACGTCGGATTTTTCGTATTTCTGACGTAAAAGGGGTGACGTAATATGCTAATTTTCCACTAGTGTAAGTTGCTTTTTTGATTGGATATTAATTGAATGAATTTTTGGATTCCTATAATTTTTGTTAGAATTTATAATATTGACTAGTTTACACATTTATGATGATGTACTATGTATTTTTGTTATCTCTTTTTGAGTAGTAGGATGTTGAATGTTTTGAGGGTTTGGTTTTGACCCTAAGAAGATAATACGGAGAATTTATTTGGAATTTTTAGAACCCTACAATCAATTAGAATGAATTGGGTATGGTAATAAACTCATGATTGGATTTTAATAAAGTTGGAACCTTTAGATTAAACTTTTTAATTTGTAGTTGAATGTAATACAATGGATATAAGCATGTGAATCCCGTAAAAGACAAAGTTTCATAGTTTTGCAAATTTGCATAAATTATCACTATGTTAAGTTTGAAGGTTAACACACCAATGAGGACCCCAGATAGCTTGTTCTCTATCTCAAAGCTCTTGAGCACCATGAAGATGATGATAAGCACGAGACCTATAGTGGATCTCTAGAAGGTTGGGTACTAAGCATGCTTAAGCACCATTTGACATAGACAAGTTACATAGTTTAGGCCTTGAGCATGACCACAATCACAATATGTGTGGCAACATTAAAGTTTTAAGGTGTTCTTTATGCTTGAGGCGCTAAGAGTGGGCCTAACTATATCGAGTGTGAGTCCACTGTTACAACATGTTGACTCTACTTTTATTTTTATTTTTGTTTGGATTATGATTGGATCATATTATTATGTTGATAATGCATGTTATATCGATATAAAGATGTGCATACCATGGAAATATGTTTTGAAAGTGAATGAGAACCTAGCCTAGATGATGGAAGACTTGCTTTAGAATCAGATTGATGTTGATTCCTCTTCAATTTGAAGTTAGCAAAAAAACACATAGAAGGGGGGTTGAATATGTGTTTGTGTGAACAAGGGTATTTTTAAAATCATCTTCGCAATAGTAATGTTCTTCGTCCAATGTACTTTTAGATGTTAGACAGTTATGCAAAATTTTCTTAACACAAACTCATTGCGTCTGAAAGATGTTATCATCTACTAGGAAAATGGTTTATAATGATAATTAAAGTTCTTGCATTTTCTTTTTTGAAGATAGCTTCATTTAAGGATAAGCAGTAGATAAAACTTTTCAGTATGATATGTTTGTTAACAAAATTTGCATCTTCGTATGAAAAATGGTTTTAATGAGGAATAGTTAGTAGACGAAGATTTTAATATGATTTATCAATTAAGAAGGATTTGCGTCTGAAATATAAATAAAACAATATAATCATTTTATACTGGTTCGCTCAACTGAACTACGTCCAGTCTTCTTCAACTTGAAGGGTTTCACTAGATATGAAATGAAGAACATTGAGTATTATTGTCCACTCCTGGACTTGAGTATTCTCGACCACTCCTGGTCTTGAGTATTCTCGACCACTCCTGGCCTTAAGTATTCTCTACCACTCCTGGCCCGTCAGCTTCACTCACCAACGCTAGTATTCTTAAACCACTTCTAGTTCTCCAAGTATTCTCGACCACTCCTGGCCCAATAGCTTCACTCACCAGCGCTAGTATTTTTAATTAAACCACTTCTAGTTCTCCAAGTATTCTCGACCACTCCTGGCCTGCCAGCTTCACTCATCAGCGCTAGTATATTCTTCTCAGCCATTTCTGGCTAGCAGTGAGTATTCTTTGACAAGCCCCTCCAGGCTTTACAAGTATTCTTTTCCTAGCATCTTCAGGCTTTACAATGTTGGCTAGACAGTTTTGGTTTGAGTGTATACATAACTCTCACAAAGAGGATTGAGAATTTCCTACACTCACTAAGGTTTGCTACCTTAGTTTTACAGAGACTTGTGTTTGAGTGTTTGGGTTACTCTCATGAATAAGATACATAGGTTTACAACACTCACTAAGGTTTAGTCCATCATTGACATTTCGAACACCTTAGTCTACAGAGATAAATACAATATTACATTGTACATATGACTATGTATTCTCATCTCTGTTCTCTGTCTCGTGGGCTTGATATCACTTTTTTTCTTCCAATCAAAAATCCATCCTTTTAAGGTTTGAGGTAGTGATATATATATTCTTGTAGAATCTACCCATTGTAATTTCCTGTTGAAGCAAATATAGTCGTTCATGACTAATTTGATCCTTTCATTTAATGCATTTGGTCTTGCATTAAATGTTGCTTCCTGTTCTTAAACATTGCGTATATTCTCCTCTGTCCTGTTGCAGTAGTGTTTGACTTTATCTAAGACCAAGAAATTATTTGTCTTTTTCCGGTCATGCAGCAATATAGCCGTTGTCCTTTTCTGAAAAAGTAATGCACTTTTTCTGACACATGCATGCTCTGCTTTTGCGTGCTTCTCTTCTTCTTTGTTTCTTCATTTAGATCACGCGTTTTACGTTGAAAGCTCTTGTGTGGTTATAAAAGATGTCTTGGCTTGTTTCTTGAGACGTGATTCTTTATTTGCTTGCGTGCCAGTCTTCATCTTCATCTGTTGGTCCTGTGTATTTCAATCTTTGACTTTTGCTTCAGCGTATGAGTTTTTGACTTTTCTTTGGTATGATTAACAATGTGAATAGACAAATATTGTTTCCATCTGGAGTGTCTCTTAGTCTGTGTTGTCTTTCATCTGATGTATAGTTGGCTTTCTTTTTGACCTTAGTCATATGCCTCGTCTGATTTGCGCTTTGGGATAGTTGTACTAGACACATTTTAGTCTGAGTATTTTGATGGCATCCTTACTTGCATGGACATGAGATGATGAACAAGTAAGAGGATGCCTTATGTGACACCCTCTACACCAACATACACTAGTGGAAAAAACACTTTTAAGATCGGTCATTTTTTAGTTTTAAGATCGATTGTTTGACCGATCTTAAAAGAGATGATCTTAAAAGTTGGACATTTTAAGATCGGTCGTCAATAGCCGATCATAAAAGTCAACTTTTAAGATCGGTCACTCGAATAGCCGATCTTAAAACCCTAAACCCTAAACCCTTAAAAGTCCAACTTTTAAGATCAGTCACGATAATAGCCGATCTTAAAAGCTGGACTTTTAAGATCGGTCATGCCAGTAGCCGATCTTAAAAGCTAAACTTTTAAGATCGGTCATGCCAGTAGCCGATCTTAAAAGCTTCACTTTTAAGATCGGTCATGCTAATAGCCGATCTTAAAAGTTGGACTTTTAAGATTGGTCATGGTAATAGCCGATCTTAAAAGTCTAACTTTTAAGATTGGGTATTACCATGACCGATCTTAAAAGTCCAGCTTTTAAGATCATCTATTACCATAACCGATCTTAAAAGTTGTGAATTTTTTTAAAATGATTAGTTTGTTTTGAGAAGGTTTCTGAACAAAACCTGCAAATTAATACCAGGCAAATGATATATTT